AATCTGTTTGTTGAGAAGCTCTATAATCATTCTGTCTGTTTGTAGCAATGAAATGGACTCCTCTTTTTTTCTTTTTAACATTTATCAACACAAATATCTTTTTTGTTTACGCTCAAAGCTCACAAACAGGTTCAGGGGTGGTAATCCGCACTGAAATTGCACATTATTTAAAAATTTCTACGTAAAATTCGGGTGTGACGTCTGAAAAGCAAATGGAAAACAGGTAAATTACGAGGCTAATGTGATATATACTTGTGTCTCACGTCGTTACCGTACTCCAGCAGCAGCCGGAGGGCCTTTTTATTGGTTTCTATTCACTGCAGCATCGAATTGATGTGTGGAATTCAAATGAAGGGTTCATTTCCAGAAGAAGTCATCTTCGTCACCACCTGAACTTCATCATTACAAATGTGAAAATATGAGGAGAGCATTCTGTTGATTCTGTTTTTAATCGTCTGAGCTCAGAGATTAAATGGTGCCGTCATTTTTTTTCACTAAATCTGATGATCTTTTTTTTCAAAGGGGAGCTGTCAACACGTTTTCAAAGCGTAACAAAGCGGAGAAGTTTTTATCACAGGGCCCTGGAGAATAACGGCGTAACATTTAGATGTGGCAGATTAAGGGTGTCAGCATGGTTTAAAGTCTCAGAGAGGTGCCAGTTTGGAGGCTCCGCAGATGTTCGAGCCATGGAGGATACATGAGAAACGGCTGGAGGCACTCTAAAAATAGAGTTCTTCAGATGGTTCTGGACCAGGCTGAGTCCTCCAGGGGACAAACGCACATCCATCCATCCATCCATCCATCCATCCATCCATCCATCCATCCATCTGACCCTCGGTCAATTTGTCAGTCATCAGTCCAGCCATCCATTTTTGTCCATCATCCATTCATCGATTTGTCCATGATCTATCCATCCATTTGTCCATCATTAGTCCATCCATCCATCTGTCCATTCATCCACCCATCTGCCCATGATCCATTCATCCATGCATCCACCTGCCCACCCACCCTTCCATCCATCCATCGGTCTATCTACCTGTCTGCCCGTTCATCTATATCTCCATCCACCCATTTGTTCATCATCAGTCCATCCATACATCCATCCATCCATACATCCATACATCCACCTGCCAAACCCCTCTATTCGTCTGACCCTCGGTCAATCCATCCATCCATCCATTCGTCCATGCATCTATTTGTCTATCATCAGTCCATACAAGCATCCACCTGCCTGCCCGTCCATCCGTCTGTCCATTTGTCCATCTATCCATTCACCCATCCACCCCTCCATCCACCCCTCCATCCATCCATCCATCCATCCATCCATCCATCCCTTTTTCACTCTGATTAATTTCCTGCTGTTTATGTAGCAGTGAGAGCCCTTTTAAGGAAGTGTCACTCTTCTTGATGTTTCCAACATTTGACATCTCCCTGTCAGCTGTAGAAGAGTGACTGTTAGTCATGGGGCTTTATAGAAACATTGCCAGAGAGTTTCCTTTTGCTTCACTCTTCCCAGTTTTTATCATTTTATTTTATTTTTTTGTCTATTTGTCATTCATGTGTACACTTGTTCCATCAGAGACACAGTCAATGCAGCAGGTTTGTACTGCCGGTGCTGTCCGTCTGCGTGAGTTCTACTTGGTCAGAAGATTATGTGGCTCCTTTGAAGAAAAGGGGAAAAAAACATCTCAGCTGACAGGGTTGGTTTGTGGAAAAGAATGAAGTCTGTATGTTGTCTGGGAAAATAAAACAAAGCATCCTTCCTGATTCTTTTATATTGAAAATAGAAACAGAGCATGCTTCCGTCCATGGTCAGGTTGCTGAGGTAATGGATCCAATAGGGAAACCCATACATTCCTCTCCCCAGAGATGAGGACATGAATCTGAGTTTGAATCCCAAACAGAAGTTAGACTCATGACATGAGCTGGAATTGAGTCTCACAGCCTTGAGATTTTATTTGGACCAGTTCCTCAATGTCTTGAGACTTGACTTGGTTCTTCCTCTCAAAGACTTGGGACTTGAAATGGACATGCAGCTTATAGATTTGAGTCTTGACCTGGCCCAAGAGATCCAAGACTTGCCCTTTAAAGACATGCAACTGGGCAAAAATAACTTGTGAAAATCGCTCACTCTCCCCAGAGTCAGTTCTCATTCCCTCCTTCAATTCCATCTGGTAAGTTCTAGAATCTCCTCCCAGTGGGACGTGCCTACCTCC